ACACTTTCTCCTCCACTCCCCAACTCCATCTTCCCTCGCAGTACACGGATACCATCCCAGCCATCCCTCATTTATCCCGAATAGTATCACCCAAATATCCCATATCGTCCAAGAAATCCGCCAAAGCACTTCCCTCTCCACTCTCACTTTCCTTAATTCCCTCTACCAAAGCCGAATCTCTTGGATAAGTATCATTACTAGTAGTTCTTGATAACAAACTCGAAGCTTTGCAAATAGTTTGCTCTGATGCAATATCTTCATCTGGTAAACTATATCCTATAAATTTTCTTCTTTCAACCTCTGAAATCATGGGGTTGTATGTAAAAGTATCGGCATTTTCTTCATTTAAATCGCTCTCATCATATGAATCGAACATCGATGAAGTATCACTAAAGCCGAAATGACTATCAGTTGGAGAAGTAAGAGCTGTTGAGATGGTTGAGACGGAGAAGTGAGATCTTGGTAGTGTTAAAGAGAGGTTTGGAGGATGAGGTAATGAAGATGATGTAAATGCATCATCTGGAAGTTGTGGAAGTGGTTTGGAAGTATCAAAAGTTGGTGATGCTTGTCGACGAGATGGTGCTGGAGATAATTGAGTGATACTGTTGTTATTTTCAAGGGCAAATTCTTTAAATTGTGTGGCGAAGTTATCATCGTCTTCATATTCTTCGGAAATTTCTTCTGGTATACCGAGAGCCATGAGGTTATCATGAACAGAACCGTGTGCTCTGGTAAAAGATGATGTTCTTGAAATAGGTTCCGAGTTGACTGGACTAATTTGATGAACAGTATTTGAGTTTGATGGACAACTTCGTAAAGTAGCTTGACTGATATCAGGCTCAGATGATCGTCTTGTAGCCGCTTGGTCAGCTGGTGATGATGATCGTGATCGACGTCCGGAAAAAAGTTTTGTTGCCCAACCAAGCTTTCCATCCTTTGACCGATGACATGGCTTTTCCGCATGTGATGATGATAATGAAACCGAGCGTGTAACATCTGGTTTGGATGGAGGGGCACGAGGAGTTATGATTTATCGGCGGGATTC